CTGGTGCTGCCTTCCTGCAGCATCCTGCATTTCCCTCCACAGCACAGTTCACCAGAATGAAATGACTTGCTTTATGCCTGTGTTCTCCACTTTACTGTGAGCTCCCCCCAAGGGTAGGGGCCTCGACTGCCTTTCCTCATTGCTCCCTTCCCTGGTACCTGGCACGGCTCCTGGAACTTAGTGGGTATTTAACAAACATATATGCAACTAGATTGCAATATTTCACTTTGAAATTTAGGATAAAAAGATAAATCAACTGCTCCCTATATTCTGCTGACATCCCAATTACAACCCCTGTATCAGCATCGGCATCACCTGGGAGCTTGTCAGAAATGCAGATTTCCAGGCAAGTCAAAATCTACATTTTAACAAGATCCCCATTAAATTTTGAGAAACATTGTTTTCTATTCCATTTCTGAGATCAAACGATATGTCTATATTGCACATTTGGATTTGGAAGTTTCCTTTTAAATAATAATATGCAAATAATAACATAATTTATATTTTTATAATAACAACATACATAAAATTATAGATATAGGCACAAAATAATGAGTGTTCACTATGTGCCAGGCACTGTGTTAAGAGTTTTGTGTGGAATCTGTCTTTTAATTTTTGCAACAACCCTTTGGGAGGAGGAACCATGATTAGCCCCTCTTGCAGAAAATAAAAGTGGGACTCAAAGACGTTTTTAAACAACTTATGGGAGCCGAGATTGTGATTTAAATTTTTGATATAACAAATGTCAATTGCTCGGGCTAGCCCTGGGGTGCCATTTTCTTGGAGCTGTGCATACAGAATTCTAGTATATGGATGCTGGACACCTTTAGCTGTCATACGGGCAACTCAGGCCAGTCAATGGATTGGGAGTGGGGCCGTTATCTCTTGGCTGAAAGAGAAGGCAGCCCAGTGAGGGGGCGGGGGTGGCTGAAGGCCCTGAAGAGTGTGCAGGACCCCAGACTAGAGTCACTCACTGCCCATCTTAACATGAAACTGTCTTCTTCTGTGTAAGCCTTGGTTTCCCCATCTATCAAATGAAGGTTTGGGATTAGGTGAACGAGAAGCCCCTTTCTGGCCTTATAATTTTATCACTAATAATCACAATTATTTCATCGTACACAAGTTCAAAGTGTGGGCTTTGGAATTAGGCCCGTGTTCCAATTTTGTCTCTGTCACTGACCAGCTGTGTGACCTTGGGTCCTGTCACTTAACATCTGTTTCCATTTCTCCGTATTTCTATAGACGAAAGAGTGATTTCTTATTTCATGGAGTGTAAATGGATGCATCTTACATTTGGTGGTGTATCACAGTTTAGTTGGCAACATTGCTTTATTCTTAGGGGTACATAAATTAATGGGGCATCTCACAACTGATGGTTTTTGGAGTCAATGAAATATTGTAATAAATTCATATACTAAAGATGGTAATAAAACTCATAGAACTGTTGTGAAAATTAAATGACATTCATGCGTCTGTTTAGCTCATACTAGATTCTCTTTTTCAGGGGTGGGTGGTAATTCGGTTTGTTTATTTATCTTAAAAGAGGTCCTGGGAATTGAACCCAGGACCTCATGCACACTAAGTGCGCTCTCTACCACCGAGCTATACCCTCCCTCTAAATTCTCAATAGATGACAGTTGTTATCATTATCAGCAGCAGCAGCAGCAGCAGCTTGTCTTTTTTTCTGGTAGAAGAGACACTAGTTTCATATTTATTGGTTCATGGCATATTTTTAACGCACCCTCTTTTTCTCCAAGATCTCCTTTGTGACAGTGTTTGAAATATGTTTCTCCTTGCCTTCCTCACTTTTTATAACGTATAGATGAGGTACTAGTCTACAAAATAATGTGGGCTTGGAAACCCTGATTTATGTATCATAAAACCAGAAGGATGAAAAGAGGAACATTTAGTCCCTCGTGTACGAGACAAGAGCGAGATGGTCCTTGTGTTCGGTTGGCCTGGATCCTGCTGAGATGGGATTTGCCCTCACGGGCCTCCTGCGTGGGGGACTCCACGCTGTGTGTTGTCAGTATGGCAAGCTGGGCTCTCTCTTGTTCTCCTTCAGCTGGAATTGGACCTAGAAATTTGATGGAGAGAGGGAAAGATACAGAACCTCAACGTTACAGCATCTGCTGGGAAGTCCTTTGGATGGATTTGACCTGCTCTAGAAGGTTTCTCTCAACTGGGGAGATAAAAAAAAATCTCAGTTCTCTGGCCATCTCAGGGAATCTCAACTGCCCTCAGGAAGACTTCACAGTGGAAAGATCTTGGCAATTATCTGGTCCCAGAAAAGCCCGCTCTGTTCTTTGGTGGTCTTCCTGGATTAAAAGTTGTAAGTACTTTTGAGTTTATCCACTGAGTGAAAGGGTATTGTCCAAGTGCCATATGGTGGGAAGAGACAAAAAAAAAAAAAAAAAAGAAAAAAAAAAGCATGGTGTTTGAATTTAGAATGATCTGGGTTCAAATTCTGCTTGAGAATGTCACCTACCCTTTCCAAATCTTAGCCCCTTCATCTGTAAGAGGGGCAATAATGAAGCCTTTTCTATGGAAATAAGGGAAAGATTGAATCAGGCCCCCCAGGTAAAGTCCTCAGCACAGTGCTTGGGCCCATAGGTGTGCTACCTATATCTGTCTGAATGTCCGCCTGTCTGTCTGTCTGTCTATCTATTTATCAATCCATCTAATTTTGCAAATCCTTGCCGTATTTCAAGTTCCAGCAGAATTGTTA